CTTTCCCACTCGAACCCCTCCAAGGATAATATTTCCTCTTGAAGCAAGGAAATGCCATCTCAGAAACACGTGAAAACAGCTCAGCAGGAAAAAAAGCAAGGACGGAAAATCGGTACGAAGTAACAAAAATGAAGAATGCATCTCTTATGCCCTAGAAATCCTGAGGAGCAAGAAAAATATCACACATTTGGTCTGTTCTTACCGTAAATCTCGTTGTAAGAGAGTCACACCGATGGGAGAAAACTAAAATACTTTTTAGAGGAGTTCTAGACAAAATACACTGCTAATTTTTCATTTTTATTTTTCCCGTAGCTTATTGCTTAGAATGAATCCGAAACACAGTTTGCATTGCTATCAAGCCCGTTCAGAGTTTATCCTGGAGTTTTTCCAGTTTCCTCATACAATGTTACGCAGCTGCTTGCTTTGCTAAAACCAACGACAGCGAGACAGCCAGCGACGATTCCACCACGAGCAGGCAAATTGTTAACGCTCATCCTTCTGGTGAAAAAAAACCCTCACCAAACTGCTGCCTTTCCCCTGCTGTAACTCCCCTGGGATCACAGGGAAGCATTTTCCCCGGGAGGGATGGAGCGCTTTGCTCCTCTCTCCCGTGCTCCCAGTTTTGGGGACGCCAGCTTTGCATTTAAGATGTGTCCAACCACCATCTGCTCTGTCGGCGCACACTGATTTTTCTTCACCCCTGATTTTCAGGGGGGCTCAGCTCCTCTACGCCCACACACAGGTCGAGGAGTGCTGGCTGCTCTAACCACCTCCAAAAATCTGCCCGAGGGTGTATTGAGGTGCCCAGAATTGGCAACCGCTTCAGAAAATACTATTTGCAGGCAAAATTGTTAATTTTCCAGAGAATGAAGCTGAGAAATTGCTGGGATTCATGTTAATAGATTTTTTAAGGGGAAACAATATCTGCTTGGCTGCCAGTAATATTTCAAGATCTAGATGGGGCCGAAAGCAGGATCTGAGCTCCCTTCTGGCTCACATGCTCTGGATAAGAGCCCAGAGGCAGAGCGGGGGCGATGCTGAGCCCCCCAGCCCAGCAGAGGTGCTGGGGCTGCCTCTCCTCCCAGCACTGACCATCTCACCCGTTCGGGGAGGCTGGAGGGGCTCCTCAATGAGCAACCGAGAGGGAGGAGTAATTCTTGAGAGGTTGGGACTTAATGGCAGGAGAGCAGGATGAGAGGACATCTCTCTAAGCCATGGGATGGGCTATTTCCACTTATGCCCAAACGATCACTTGGGAAAAAGTTAGAGATCTCTTCATACACTGTTTTTAGACAAAATCTAAGCATTATTGCCAGCTATATTTTCACAACTCTAAAGAATTGAAGTACTGTCCTAAAACCTTGGGCGTCCAACGAGCATCTGAGGATCCTGCAGGAAGCGGGAGCCAGCACGGGCACTGCAGGGTCTGCCAGTCTTGGCTTCATCTTCTACTTCCCTGCCGCCATGGGGCAGTGGGGATGGATAACTCGCATCCAGAGCCTGGATGAGGGCAGGTACCTCTGCTAAAGAAAAGAGCTGGACAAAGAGAGGGGGATCTCTGGCTACTAACGCTGTCTGGGGCAACCAGAGATTCATCCTGGGGCTGGTAAAGGACCTAGAGCCAGCGTGGAAGAGCTGCAGACAGCACATCGTGCTGCTATGAGAAACCAGTTAGAAAGTATTTGAGCAGTGTTTACTGCGGTGGAGGCATCTCCAAAGCAAAGGCAGGACCAGAGCTGGGAATGTTCCCCCACTGATGTATTTGATCTCTTTTCCCCAGGGTAAAGTGGCAGTCAGCTCTTCCAGCCCCGTTGTCGCAGCTTCGTTACCACCCCCATCCCAGGCCAGACAAACACCCATCAGCGAGGGGGAGCTCTTCAAGCTTCCAGGCAGGCTGAGTGAGTAGATGTTGAGCAAGTCAACGCTGCTTAAAAAAAAAGAGGAGTTCCCACAGGGTGGGACATGGTGGGTACAGCCATGGTGTCCCACCCAGGGACCATTCCCTGTTGTCAAGGGGGACAAGATGGACCAGTCATCAGGCTTCATTTTCTCTCTTTGGGGCATTTTTGACCTGTGAGTGCTTAATGTAGAGGGAAAGTTTGGTGATGAAGGAGACTAGTGTCCCACCCTGCCCCTCAGCAGTTTTGAAGATGGAGACTGGGTTGTTTCAGAGGCTGCCCCTGGTTTCAGGAATCCAGCCCTCCCTGTGGAGCAAAGACGACGTGATCCACTGGCTAAGATGGGCTGAAAGAGAGTATTCCCTTCGGCAAACCGACGAAAGCAAGTTTGAAATGAACGGCAAAGCCCTGTGCATCCTCACCAAGGATGACTTCAGATACCGAGCTCCGAGCTCAGGTTAGACCAAGCGCAAGGGTGTTTCTGAGGACCATCCAAGTACAGCACAAGCTGTGGTCTGCTGAGAGGGGCTGGATGGGTCCCAGCAGACCAGGCTTTAGCTCTGGCCAGTTGGGTGCTGGAGACAAGGACAACCCTCTTCCTTCCTTCCTTTAGTCCATCTGGACTGCAAATGCTTTGGGATGGGGAATAACCTCTTACTCTGTAGCACAGAAATCTAAGCAACAACATCAACTGAGAGAGACTATAACGCAAAGTCATCTGAGCAGACTTTCCTTCCCTGCAGGTGATGTGTTATATGAAATATTCCAGTACATTAAAACTCAAAGAAGAGCTCTGGCGTGCAGCCCTTTGCTGAACTCACCCTTCAGGGAAGCCAGGAGCACAGAGGAAGGTATGCTGGAGAATGGCAGCTGTCCATCAAGCAGAGCCTGCCCTCAGCTACAGTGAGTTGCACACATCTGGGGCTTGAAGCTCAGCCAGCTGAACCCATTCCACGCTACCTGAGCGAGGCAAGCAGGACAGTCATGGAGATGGCAGCCAGGTCCAACAAAGTCTAGGTCATCAGGGAAGTTTGTAGTGATGAAGCAGGTCCAGTCAGAATCAGGCCTAGGCAGCACCAGGTGGGTCCACGGTGACCAGGCAAGGCTACAGCTACGCTAGGAAGTCTATCGGCAGATTGAGATCTGGATCGGGGAGGGTTAATAGCCAGGCAGAGGCACAGCCCTGACTGGAGACCAGTCCTCCTGCAGCATAGCTGGGGAAGGATTGAGGAGCCAGGGCCAAGCTTAAATAGAGCTTCTGGGCCAATGGGTGGAGTGGGGAGAGGCCCCAGGTGAGGCTGGTCAGGGCCAGTGAGGCTTATTAGTGCCCTTGGGGGGCCTAGGTAGGAGTTAGGGTGTGGATAGGTTGGTGTCAGTGGCTGACTTTGTATTGAGGTGGAGTGTTTTCCTGAGCTCTTCTGCTGGCTCAGGTGTAGGGTGATGAACATCTTGAGCCCCCACAACAATTTACAAGGGAGTGCCTCTACTCTGGTGCATTCTCCTATTCCAGTTTTTCATCTGCATCTGACCCTTACCCTACTTGGCGTCTCCTCTAACCCCCGGGACCTTCTGCTACTCCTGCCTTAGGAAAATCCTAGGCTTTCCTCAGCACCTGCCTTCTCTGGCTGGGCTGGTACTAGGCTGGTAACCAACCTGGCCTGTCCCTCCCTACCTCTTTCAGGGCTTTGGAAGATCTCCTGGGACCTGCCGTAATGCACCACAGGGTTGTTTTGTTTTGTTTTGTTTTTTGCAGGGTCAGACTGTAGTGCCGAGGCTGCCCCGGTTGCTGTTTCCTCCTGCCTGGGTTATGCAGAACAGCCCGTGTCCTGCAGCCACACGGAGCTGCTGAACCTTTCCCATCGCAGCTCGGAGGGCAGCTGCAGGGCAGGTGCCATCTGCTCTTTTCCTACAACCCTGTTGGCCCCAGTGGATGGGAAAATTGCAGGTAAATATGAATTTATAGCCTGGTTCCTTGGGGAAATGAGGTTGTGCTTTGTCCTGTCTGCCCATCTGTCTCCCTTCCATTTATTCCGTGCATCAGTGTGTGCTTCCCTGCCTCAGTTTCCCCACCTGAAAAATTGTAGCTCCTGCTAGCGTTTTGAGATCTAGCAATGGAAGTGCTGCGCGTGAGCTCTGGGCTCTTCTTATATTTATTATCACTGCTAGCGTGTGCAACCCTGTTGCTGATCGACCCTCACTGGAGCATAGGCGCCTTAGCGGGAGCTCTGTGACTATTTATTTTCCACCAACGCTCAGACTGCAGGTTGCTGTGGGATTATGTGTACCAACTCCTCTCTGACAGCCGCTATGAGCCTTACATCAAGTGGGAAGACAAGGAAGCCAAGGTCTTCCGGATCGTTAACCCAAACGGACTTGCCCAGCTCTGGGGGAACCATAAGGTAAATGGAGTTGAGAACAAATCTGTCAGTCCTGGGCTTCTGCATGTTGCCTTCATGACCTGTTCCCCAGAGCTGATGGCAAAGGGATTGGTAAAGGGTGAGACAGAGTGGGCGCAGGGCTACTGAGAGATGCCAACCTCCTGGTGATTAAAGAGGGTGGCTTTTTCATCCCCTGGAAGGCAAACCATGATGGCTGTGGACCCAGAAGCAAGTCTGGGTTAGAGACCCAGACCCACACTGCAGCCTGCAATGCCCAAGAACCACCTTGAATGTCCCACATGTGGTCCTGCTGCAGACAGACTCAAACCAGGTGTTGGTGCTTGCTTTTACTCAATGCCCCCCCTCCCCAATTCTTTTTTCCTTCCAGAACCGGATGAACATGACATATGAGAAGATGTCACGAGCGCTCAGACATTACTACAAACTCAACATCATCAAAAAGGAGCCAGGGCAGAAGCTGTTGTTCAGGTGAGATGAAGCAGATCAGAGAAACGAGCTGCCTGGGACAGTGCAGATGGGGCACGGGAGGGCGGTGAGCTCCAGATGTTGGCAGCTGCTTCATCCAGCAAGATCCTCCCCTGCAAATGCAACACCCCGGTGGGTTTGTGTCCAGGCTCTGTCCTGTGCAAGCTGGGACCTGGGCTGCCTGGGCTGCGGGTCCCATCCGATGCACATTCCAGGGCTGTGGGCCAGCAACCTGCCCCGGGGCCAGCATCCTCTCCTGCATGGGGTCCAGCTGGTGCCGGAGGAAATGCCCCCGAGCCCACCCAAGCTGGACAGGTCCCTCCTGTTCCCCAGTGACACCAGGTCTGAAGTCCACCTCCAGACAGAGGAAGGGGTGGAAATAAGTCAGGAACCTCCTGTTTTCAGTGCTGGCTGCTTCCCTGGGACTAGTTTGGACTTAAAATGCCAGCTCTGGGCCGATGAGTGCTGAGCTTTGTCTTCCCAGGCTCAGTGCATCCTGGGAGCAAAGCAAGAGCTGGGCTCCTCAGCAAAGCCCAGGGATGGCAGATACCCTCCGGCGAGCTCCAGAGCTCAGCTTGATGAGGGCAAGGGCTCCAGCATTTGCAGCCTGGTTTGGGGCTGGGTTTGGACATGCCCTTAAAGCCATTGAAAAATGTATTGCAGGTTTTTGAAGACTCCTGGAGAGATCATCCATGAGAAATCCAGCAAACTGGAGCAGCTGGAGAATGAGGACCATGAGGATTTGAAAGAAGACCCACTGGAGGTTTCACCGTAGGAAATCTTTGAAGGTGGCACTTGCAGTGCATTGCAGACAGGCTTGTGCTCCGCTGGGAAGTGCCGGCGTCTCTTGCATCTCCTGGACAGAAGGCCACAGAGCTGGTCCTGGATTTCAAAACCTGCCCTGAGCCAAAGCTGTGACATCTCTAAGGCTGCATTAGCAAAACACACCGAGAAACTGTCCCCCAGCCCCAAAAGCACAGATGAACATGTGGGCTGGTCTTCTGCTCGCTTCTCTTGTATCCTCTGGGAGGGAATGTGATATTTTTGCTCTGTAAATTTTGATGCTTGTCTTTAAGGTTTAAACTTGCTGGTAAAGACTGCTCCGTTCTTACAGCGAGATGTGCTGAGTGGAGAGCACCGGAGCATGTGCTCCTGGTCAAAAGCACTTTGGTAGATGTTTGCAGAGAGCAGCGGCCCTAAGTGTGAACACGCTGCTCTGAATCTGAGCCGTGTCCCAGATTCGAGAATGGACTTATATTGCAGATGTGCTGTGCACTGTAATCTCAGTCTCCTGTGGGGTTGCTCCTGTGATTAAGGGTGGAAGTGTGCTGAAATATCTGCCTGGATCAGGCCTTGCTGGAGCTCCAGGCTGCATGGATGCCCTAAGCTGGGTCTCATTTTAACTCCTTTCCCTCCATGTAATGCTTTTTTTAATTAGATGACTAAATAATGTGAAAAGAAACAAAGCCAGTAATGAATATGACCATACTCATCGTCAGACACGTGGTTATTTGCTTTGAGTCCGAAGCAGGGATACCTGCAACCCCAGGCACTGTTAGTGACCTGGAAGGAACAATGTGTATGTGCTTTTTAAATCCGAAAATATCCACTAATATTTTCAGATTGCTTTTCATTGAGCAAATAAAATCCTGTGACTGTGTAAGGTTGAAAAATCCCAATTCTTGCTAGTTGAAGGTCTGAAACTGAGAAATCCAAGCCTTCCTCATTTAAAACCAGCTTCTGTTGGCACCCGGATCTTGTCCCCATGCTCGGCAGCCCCTAAACAAGAGTGCAACAGTCCGAGCTGTTGGGTGAACGCCGTGCAAACACATGGCGTTTTGTAGCTACGTGGACAAGCACAGGTACAGGTCGTGAAGCAGCATCGTGTTTCATGGCTGATAGGAAAAGGTGAGTTCCTTCCAACCTGGGTTTTGTGCCACTGCAGAAATTATCCTGCTGCCTCCTATCTTTGCTCTGGACCCTTTCCCAAACCCGGGCTGCCGTCTCAGAGCTGCATCGGCGCTGCTTTTGGGGCAGCAATGCTGTGAATGGGTCTGGGAACTGTCAGTCTTGTGAAAAACTTCGGCAAGGGTTGGTGGCGGAGGTTTCCACCAAAACTGGTTGTTGCCAACCTGAAACTACGGTCCCTTTTGCTGTAACTGGTGTTGCTCCTCCAAAACTACTTTACACCCATTAACTGGAGCCTGGAGATGCTGGGGGGCTGTAGCCAGCAAGAGACGGTGGTGGGACACATGGTCGCTAGTTGGCAAAATGTCAACAACATGACATCTCTGGAAATGCTGGCTGAGAAGTTTCACTTCCAGAAAAGATCACCAGCTTGTTGGCAAAACACAAGTGCTTGAGAAGTCAAGCGATGGAGGAGAAGGAAACGAGAAGCTCTAGTGGGATAAATGAGCATAGCGTCACAGCCTTTGGGAGGTCCTAGCTAGGAAGGGAGGCTGAAATCTCTGCTAGGAGAGGGGGCTGGAGGTTACCCAGCACCCAGCCAAGCTGCAGCCTGGGGATGCACCACGCCAGGAAGGTGCAGCGAAGCACCCAGACCTCATCCTTCCATAAAGGGTGCTTTTTGTCCCGGAGAAGACTAAAGCCAGATCTTTTTTGGGGTGAAATCCAGCAGAGAGTCGGTGTAAGTCCTGCCCGGCCCTGAGGGACAGCTTTGGTGGGAAAGCAGACCTCCTTCCTCGGCAACTGTCCCATCCTGGCTCTGCATCACGCTTGGGATACGCACCCATGGGTGCATTTTTCCTGACCTTCTCCTAACAAGACATCCCCCCTGCTTTCTTGCCGTGGAAACAGCCCTGATGACTCTTGAGCATCCCATCACTTCTCCAGCCTGCGTGGTTTGTTTTGTTGGAGCAGGCGATGACTGTGGTGCTTGTGCCGTGCTCGCAGGGAGCGTGCAAGATGCCCTCTCTTCACTTGTTTTTCCTGCGATGACTAAGGATCCTGTTGGACTTGGACGGGGATTTTCTCTCCTGGTTGGGAAGCTGCCAAAAGCGCTCAACCTTCCTTGTGCCGCGCTGTGCTGCCGCAGCTCCGAAGGGATCTTGGAGGGTGAAAAATCAAATGTGCAAGGATGGGCTGCGATGACGAGCTCTTTCCATGTTCCCAGGTAGCCCTCGTGTCCTTCTCAGGGCAATGTGTCTCTTCTCCCTGCGGTAAACAGAGGCAGGAGGGCTGTAAACCTGCTGCTTTCCTGGAACGGGGACCCATCCCTTTCAGTAAACAGCTGAGTAACGGCCGCTTGCGCCGGGGCGTTTGGTGTGGGTGTGTGTGGAGGGAGAGCACACGGCAGTCAGTGACTTTTGCCATGGCTGAAGTCCAGGGGTGATGGCACGCAGAAGGGTGCCCCACACAGGCTTTCCCAAAGGTTTGCAGGTGCTTCGTTCCGTGGAGGTCGTCATCCTTGCTTCAGCAGCACCAGGTCTGGTGGTGTTTGGGGCAGGGTGTTGCACAGCAGCAAGCGCCCACGCGTGCCCGCTGCTGCCTCGCGCTGCTCGTCTGCTGAGGGAAGCAGCTAAAATCAGTCCCGGGGGCTGGAGGAAAAGAGGATTTGCTTTGAGGGCTGGTGCCCACCGCCTTCTCGGATCAGAGACACCACACAAGTGGGCTGGGAGGTTTCCACTGAGGCCACACAGGTGCCATGTGTTGGCTGTGCCGTCTGTCCAAACCATGGCCGGTGCGGGGAGCAGTGGCTGCCCTCAACACCCCTGTCATGGTTCAGATCTGAAACTGCAGATATTTTTGTGCCCGGGTGGCTGGTGTTGGCTCGAAGGGACCTTCGTGGTCCACTTAAAACACAACTGCCTCCAACACCCAGTTGGATCGGTTGTGGCTTCGGCTAGCCAAATCATAGAATCATCATAGAATCATAGAATAGTTTGGGTTGGAAGGGACCTCTAAAGGTCATCTAGTCCAACCCCCCTGCTGTGGGCAGGGACATCTTCAACTAGATCAGGTTGCTCAGAGCCCCGTCCAACCTGATTTGGAATGTTTCCAGGGATGGGGCATCCACCACCTCTCTGGGCAACCTGTGCCAGTGCTTCACCACCCTCAGCGTAAAAAATGTCTTCCTTATATCTAGTCGGAATCTACCCCCCTTTAGTTTAAAGCCATTAAAGCCAAACTTGGATAATTTAGTTTAAAGCCATTAAAATCTTGAAGACCTCCAAGGATGGCAATCCCCCACCTCTCTTTACACCCATTTGAGGTTGTCCCAGCCTCCTGCAGAGGAGGCTTTTCCTGATGTCCAACCTCAGCCTCCCAAGCTGTGGCCTGTCTTGTCTTCTTCCCAAGAAATCTGGGTGTGTTGACTCCTGCCTTCTCCTGAGCCCGTTGTAACGCTCCGCACCTCGCAGCTCCCTGCAAGGAATACCTCTCCCTTGGTTTTTTCCATCTTCTGGAGCAAGTTCCTATAAATAGGCCAATTACCCCTGCTGTGTCCCTGGGCTTTCAGTTCTGCTTTTCCCTCCAGTGTCGCTGGCCTGAAGACACCAACCTCAGCATTGTGTGCTCCCTCCACGTGACCGCGTTTCCAGCCAGCTTCCTCATTCTCTGTTGGTGTTGATGAGAAAAGCGGACAAACTGGGATCCAGGTCTCTTCCCCCAACTCTGGCAATGGGCTTTTGGTTTGTCTCAGGTCTCCTGCAAACATCTTTTTCTTATGCCTCTCTCCCATTAGGTTTTAGCATGTCCCAAATCCCAGAAGGGACCTGAACTTGGACAAAGGTCTGGATCCAAAATCACAATTCAGGTCAAGATTTTTCCTGGAGTCACTTTGGGTACCCCATCTTCAGGCTGTGTCCAGAAATGCTCCTGCAAAAGCCTGCAAGAGGCGATAAGTCAATGCTGATTCCCAGCTTAATCATGAGAAGCTCTCCATGAGCAGGGATGGTGTTTGGACCCACCCTTAGATGATCTCCAGCAGCAAGATCTCCAAGCTGGAGATGGCCAAACTGTGCCCTGTTGCCAGAGTGGATGCGGTTTTTTGTTATACGGATGTTGCAGAGAAAAAACAAACAAAATTGATTGTGAAACTCCTCCTCACCCACTGGAATTGACCTGCTTATGAAAGGACGCGGTCATACGCTAGTTAGCAGCACGGAGCTCCTGATGGATGGTTTAATTATTTATCAGAAGTAGATGGGGATGCTGAAAAACAAACCCAGGTGATTCCTAATCAATACCAGACTGATTCATCGGTGTAGGCTCAGGAGAAGCGGAGGGAAATGGGCTGGCTCTCTCCCAGTTATAGGAAATTATGGCACAGAAAGTTCGTAGAAACAGAAAGAAAATAATCCTGGGCTGGTTCAATTGCAAGCTGAACCCATTATCAGGAAAAGACCATTTTTTATCTGGGAGGGACCTGGGCAGCACATCATCCCAGCTGAAAACTAGAGCAAATGCAGCGCTGCTCAGGTGGAAATCTTGCCGAAGGGTTTTCCAAAGCCAGCGTGCCGGCAGCCACCGCCCGGCAAATGCATCCTCATGCAGCACCGTCCCTGCAAGGTGCAGTGCGAAATATTGCCATCAGATGGCAAAATAGCAATGAGGATGGCAGGCAGCAGCCTGCGGGAGGGTGCAACAGGGACGGGGGTGCGGGGGGATGGCTGTGGGGCCAAATGGATCTCTGGTGTAAGAAGAAAGGCTGAAGATTTGTTTGGCCAAGGGGCAGATTGCAGATGTTGGGATGTGCAGATCTGTGTTGTGCGGGTTCAGCCCTGGGCGATGCTCTGCCCCGGGGCAAGGCTGAGTGGGAGCCATGCGGGTGCAAAGGATTCGGGTCGTGAAGCCGGTCCCGTTTCATGTTTTAGGGTGGGTGCACAGGCTGTCTGAAGGAGCCCTGGGTGGGTTTCAAAGACGTTGCAGCCCAGCCATGCTCGGTGTTGGGCAACAACCTGATAGCACCGTGCCCCAAAGTGTCTGCGGTCCCACAGCAGCCCCCGACATTGACTTTCCTGGAAGCTCCTGGGATGCGAGCAGGGCAATCTGCTTGCTGCACTGAAACCCCATTTATCTGAGACGCTTGTGACTTCTCCTTACAAAAACAACCCAGAAAAGCCCATACATGGCATCACACCTATTAAAAACACCCAACAAAACAAACCAAAACCAAATGCCAAACAGCTGGCTTAGATAGCTGGTTTCAAAGGCCAGCGCTTACACCAGATGACAGGTGACTTTTATGCTGTTTTGCTGCTATTTGTCATAAGGAAACTGTTTTCTCCTTCAGTGAAACTCACACCTGCTGGTTTTCCGCCACGAGGGAGGTGATAGCGGGGATCCCAGGCGGAAGCATTGGCCGCTCTGCTACCTGAATGGCTGCTAAAAATAGGACTTAATTCAGTCAGGCGCTGGCTCTGGATATAAAAAAGGCGCCTCCCGGGAGAACCTGACAACCCTTAGTGCCCGTGGCCAAGGAGCTTGTCTTGACATATGTCCAGGAGGGCAGAAATACTGATGGAAAGGTAAATACCAAAAGAGCAAATAAAGAATGATGTGGCCAATGTACTGGAATCGAAGTAGGATGGGGGTTGTTGCTTTGCTGTGATTAAATCTAGTTGAATGATTTATTATTGGGTGGTCGGGTGGCTTTGGTGTTGGCTTGGATGAAGGAAACTTGCCTTCTTGAT